ATCAGCGAATAGAAAACGATGGTTAAACCAATCAGATTCGCGGATTTGCTATAGTACACAGCCAAGGGGCTACTAAGACTCGTTAGAAACACACAAACCTATTTTCTGTTTCGCAGCCAGATATATCTAATTATGATATTATTGATCTTAATTTTTCGCATCTTAACGTATGTTTTTGCGAACTTCATTCATTTTTAGCCTCTTTCATGTATTCATAGCTACACTGTATCTAAATATACCTTTTTAATCTCAGTGTTTCTCGGCTCAGTGAATCTTGATGTTGATCTAGTATTATCACTCTTATTCTGTAAATAACTAATCTTCTTGTTACGGTCAGTTTTGACTAGCATATGGGCAGGGCCTATATCAGTCTAGTGTTTATATAGAGTTGTTGTTCTTTAGTCTAAGGCTAACTTGGTCTAATAACTTGCGAAAGACGTATTCAGGCAAAATGTTGGCGTCTAACACGCTTGTTGCAACTTTTGTCCTGTGTCTGCTTATTTCTTTTACAGAGATCAGTCAAGGATGTGAAAATCAATCAAACAGCGTAAATGAAGGTATGTTTGGCTTGAGTTATTATGAACGATTGATGTGTGTTTGGAGATCTTCAGTGTAGTTTTTTTCTAAACTGAACGTCTATTTCTTGTTTACACGCCATTTGTCTGTTGTGCGCGAAGAAGATTCCTCAAATTTTCGTTTTTTTTTTGTTTTTTTTTTTGTCTGGTAATGAATCATTGTCTACATGTGCTTCAGATACCTTAACGCTGTTTAGCGATCACAAATTCAGAAACAAGCGTGATGGTTTGTATGAGTGCCTAGTTTCGTAGGTAGATCCAGCACGTTAGCAGTATGACTTTTAGCATTGTTGGTATTGATACGAACGCTAATTGTTGTGTTATATAGTAAAGTTTCGATGATAAATCCCCGGAGGGAAGTGGGGGGAGGGGGGTACTCCCAGAAATGTTGGATGGGAGTGTGCAGCCTACTCCCCAAAACCCGCACTCTATTTATGAACAAAATCTGCGAATTTTGCTACTCTATTTATGACCTGGCCAAAAATTCGATAGCCTATTTATGACCGTTGCGGCTGACGCAGTTGCTCTAAACATAAGTTATGACTAGACTGTTAAAACCATACCCTATTTATGACCAAAATGGCCAAAATCGATACCCTATTTATGACAGAACGGCTGAAAAACCCTACCCTTTGGGGCCGCATATACCTATATAGCTCATATAACAGAGTACCCCCCGGGGATAAATCCTCGCCTTTGGTATTCTTGAAAAGTCCTTTTAGTGGGCTTATATTCGGAGGGGCATTTCAAGAGGTTGAGGTGTTACCGTAAGACCCCAATCAATGAGATTGACGTCTTACCGAAGGGAAATCCTACGTTTCGGAGATGTTTGGTCTCTAAACAGATACCTCATAGAAGGAGTGACTGACGCAGAATGACTGACGCTCAAAAATCACGGAAGATGTCTGAGGATTTTCACAGAAAATGTCGAATTCCGTTGGGTACATCAAATTTGATTTTTGGCGTGAATCGGAGTCACGAGTTATCTGCTCGCCTCTGATTGGTTTATACACAGTGGAATTGGGTGGGCTATATCCGTGAAACTATATATCCCTTTAATTACATGCAGACAAACTTGGATTGGTCTTGGTTTCAGTGACGCAGTCAGAGCTGACGTTTCGACTTACATTTGCACCCTCTCATAATTTCGATTGCGTCAGGCAGCCTCATGTGATATTTTTAATAACTTCTTTTTCGAGGAACTCGATTATTGAAATGAAGCTCTTCTCAATGTTTTTTTTTGTCTCCCCAGGTGACGGTGGTATTAGCTTAAAATCGATTTTACAAGTGGCCCAGCTTGTTCGCCAGGGTGTCAATCCCTGTTTGCCTAACTCAAAACACCATCATGATATTCCGCTTCCACCAGGAGTTATGTCTTCAGTTTGCAAGTACATAAGTAAGTCTTAAGTCAAGCCCATGAGCATAGTTTCTGGATGGAGGAGGTATATTATCCGAGGAATGTTTGCGTCAGAGCAAAAGTATAAAATTGCAGAACTACAGAGGTCAGAAACCTTCACTGGGCTTTGATTTAGGGGCTGTGCGCCTCGTTTCCGACCAATTTTTCCAAAATGAGCAACATCGTTGCTTAAGTTGTGTGAAAATTAGGTTTCTTTCAGTCTATGACTTTGATTAAGGATATGTACACCGCAATGCCACAGTAGTCAACACTGGGGTAAATTTAATGTTAATTTTATTGTCGAGGCGAATTAATTTCTGTGTTTGTTTTGTCAGTGGTACTGGACTTGCATAAAAGAAAATGGAAGGAAAATTCTTTATTCTTGTGTTTTTTTCCTCAAATGTTCGCTTTTGCTTCTGGTAATTAATCGTTGTCTGCATGTGTTTCAGATACCTTGAAGCTGTTTGGCGAACACAAATTCAGAAACAAGCGTGATGGTCTGTATGAGAACCCTCGGTTTAGTATGAAGTATAGCCATCACGTTAGCAGTATGGATTTTATCATTGTCAATATTTATACGAACGCTAATTGCTGTGTTATATGGTAAAATTGCGATGATAAATCCTCGGCTTTGGTATTCTTGAGAAGGCCTTTTAGTGGTGTCATATTCGGAGGGGTGTTTCAAGAGGTTGAGGTGTTACTGTAAGGAATTCTTTCCCAATCGATGAGACTGGGGTCTTACCGAAGGGACATTCTGCCTTTCAGAAATGTTTGGTCTCTTAACGTCCTTAACGGATACCTCACGGAAAGAGTGACTGACGCAGAATGACTGACGCCCAAATATCACTGAAGATGTCTAAGGATTTTCACAGAAAATGTCGAATTCCGTCCGGTACATCAAATTTGATCATGATTTGGCTTGAATCGGA